AATTAGGTAGATGAGGTTTATCTTTCTTTTGTTTTGATGTTAATTCATATAAGGGATTTGGTGATTGGTTTTAGGTTTCTTTTCATTCTCTGCTGCAAAGAGTTAGTTGTTGCAGCTTTCCTTGGATATGTTTTCTTTAACTAATATTTGATTGGGTTATTTTACTGATAATATGTAGGGACTACTCTGCGTCAGGTATTTCTAGCTAATTGGTGGTTTGCTTCAATATCTTCAAAGACGGTCAATCCTGTGATTTTTTTTTTCTTCTCGACTTTGGAGTTTTGACCAAAGAGCTCAACGCGATATTTTATCAATTTCTAGACCAACTAGTATATAACAAAAATACCTCACAACTTGATTATATTGTGCTATAAGTTGAAAGCTTAAATTGTGCAAAACTAGTAAATCTTTTAACAAAAATTTTACACGCAAAAGGTACAGGATCTATGCTTAGCTTCTTGACAGGTGTGCAAAATTTGGACTATTTTATTTAGAGAGGTAAACCAATCTTTTTTGGCTTTCTAAAAAGTTCTCATATTTTAGGTTCTTGAATAATGCACACTTATTTAGGTGTGTAACATTTGGACTCATACACTTATTTTTTCTTTGGAGAGATTAACCCCTCATTTAATTTAATTTATTTTTTTTTATACAATTTTGATGTATTGTTGTGAAAAATTTTATGGACAGATTGACCCTGAACCTATTAACTGTGTTATTTTTGTTGTTGGCAGGCAGTGTGAAGTCCCTAATCAGCTTTCCCTGCTTTATGTCACATAAAAGACATACTTGTCGCAGTTCGTGAGCCCAGAGGTTTCAAGATATTGTGCGTATATTTGTTGGAATTGAAGATGTCAATGATCTCATTGCTGATCTAGATAATAAACTTATATATGGCCTCTATATATATTTTTTTTTTATAAGTATTCAACCTTAGAAAATTGGATTATCATGGTTTTAGCATGTTGGGATTGGGAGGATCTTTGGAAGTTCGAGGGTGGAAATTTGAAGTGTTTCTTTTTATTTTATGTAGCAAAGTTCATATTTTCTGAGTTTATTATCACAATTGTTATCTTCACTTGCAATTTGCCTTGCATTAATCAAATGGATTTTATTTTTTTTTGGTGGACTTTTTTGCCTTTTGTCAATCACCTAATTTACTGTGGAACTGGAATGATTCAATGGTAACGATATATTTTTTTATGGGTACATCTACATGCATGAGTTCGAGGGTGGAAATTTGAAGTGTTTCTTTTTATTTTATGTAGCAAAGTTCATATTTTCTGAGTTTATTATCACAATTGTTATCTTCACTTGCAATTTGCCTTGCATTAATCAAATGGATTTTATTTTTTTTTGGTGGACTTTTTTGCCTTTTGTCAATCACCTAATTTACTGTGGAACTGGAATGATTCAATGGTAACGATATATTTTTTTATGGGTACATCTACATGCATGAGTAGATGTAGGTGGTTCTATTTGGTAGTTTTAAATAGTCTTGCCATAGAAGGCTTTGGATAATAATGGGTATGAATCAAAGGTCTTTATTACGTGGCCATTTAAATTGCTACTATATTAATCAAAGGTTTGAATTGCTACTATATTCATATTTTTATCTTTTGTCTCAAATATTAATTATTTATAATTTTAAATTAATCTTTTAAAATTGTGCTTTTATTCTAACTTTGGGTTACTTATAATATTTTCTTTATTATTTTAAATTAATAACTACTTATGTATCTCCCTTTTAATTTTAAATACTTCTCATATTTTTAATTTATATTTTAAAACTTATCTAAATTAAAAATATGATAGTTTTGCACAGACAAATAAAATAAAAGGTTAAAATAATTTGTAAGTCACTATGATTTTTTCAAGATTTTAATTAGTTCTTATAGCTAAAAACACTCTAAAAAGTAACTATTGGAACCTAATTAAAAATTTGAAAAATTATAATAACTTACTGATTAATTCAAGTCCAATGTTTAAAATATTGTAATTCAAATTATATATCTAGAAGAAGAAAAATAATCTAATTTTGGAACGTTGGACAATAAAATTACTTGGATTGATGGAAAACAACAATAACTGTAAAGTGGAGATAGTGGATCCAAGGGTGTCTTATAACAACCCAAATTTTTGTCTTTGTTAATGGTAGCCTACACCTAATTAAGTTCAAGGAACACAAGGGGTTGAGGCAGGGCGACCCCCTAGCCTCCTTTCTCTTTAATTTTGTGGCAAAAGAACTCAGTGACATGTTGAGAACAACAGGAAAAAAGGCCTTTATGATGGCTTTTTAGTTGGGGAAAAACAGGTAAAACTCAATCTCTTATATGTCAATGACACGGTTTTTTTGGTGTGAAACTAGTATTAAAATGTTGTCACTATTAATTGTATTTTGAGGTGTTTTGAATTGATTTTAGGACTAAAAGTAATTTTTTTCGAGAGCAGTTTCGATGCTATTGGAGTAGAAAGAAGTGTACGTTCAAGAAAGGCATGCTAACTAGCTGCACTATAGACTAATGTCTTTACCTTTATTTATTTGGGGATCCCGATCGCTGCAAACTCAAGGAAGGAAGAAACTTAGAGGCCAATAATTAATAAATTCAAGAAGTTATATGCATGGAAAAACAAAGTTCTATCTATAGTTGGCAGGATCTATCTCATAAATTCAATTCTAACTGCTCTACCTCTGTATCTCCTTTCCTTTTTCAAAATGCCAAGAAATGTGGTGAGAAAGGTAGTTAGTATCTAGAGAAATATCTTATGGTGGGGTCAATGAGGGGATTAGAAAAAATCCATGGATAAAATGGAGAAGATTTGTCACCCAAAAGTTCAAGGGGATTTAAGAGTGAAAGATATAGAAGGTTTTAATGATTCCTTATTGGGAAAATGGAAGTGAAATCTCCTTCATCAAAAGGATAGTATTTAGGGGAAAGTTTTGGTTTCTAAATATGGTGGTGTGGGAAATTTGAGTGAGGGAGACATTAGTGCAACAGTAGTGCAACAGATTCAAATATTTGGTAGCGAGACTTGAGAAAGGTTTGTGGGAGAATGAACCAGCCTAGGTGGTTTGACAAAATGATAGAACAAAAATTAGGGAATGAGGAACAATAAACAAAATTTTGGTTGGATAAGTGGTTGAGAGATGATTGCTAGGCAAGCTCACACCCGAGGATGTTTATGAACTCTATCCAGAAGCAACACATCATTGCTGATATGGGCAAATGAGTTGAAAATGAGTGGAGGTGGGACTTAAAGTGAAGGAGAAAATGGTTTGAGTGGGAGAATGAACAATGGGAAAATTTGAAAGTTTTATTGTAGAATGTTTCATTGCAAAGAGGACAGGAGGTCTCTTGGATGTGGATAGACGGGTCTATACGGGTTTTTTTGGTTAATTCAGCCTATAAATCTCTATGCAATCTGAAATTTGGGAACCAAGTAGATAAAACACTCATACAAGTTTGGAAGGTGAAGGTATCCCCAAAGGCATTCATCTATGATGCACAAACACGACATGAAACTACTGTATCCTAATATTTGACATTTTTGCAAAACGAACACGCCACGGATGCGTCACAAACATAAACATTGCACAAATTGGACACATTTTTATTATGGATACTTACAAAATATCTTGATGTTTGCGGCCAAACTTTTTGATGAGTGGTTTGGGGATTTTTTTTAAAAAAAAACAAAAAAAACTCGATAAAAACAAAAATAAAGAAAAGAAGATTCGGATTTTTTTAAAAGTAAAAGAAAAAATCTTGATAAAAACATAAACAAAAAAAGAAAATTTGTCTTTCCTTACTTAACCAATCATAGAATCAAAACTAATTACAAGATTTTTTTTTGTTGTAGATTATTGTACCTCTAAATGATTTGTTTGAGACTTATTAAGATATTGTTATATCAATATATAATTTTTTATCATATTATTCATATTATATATTATATATATGTGGTATCCTTGTATTTATACCTATATTATGTTCTTATACCATGTCCAAATCCATGTTACATAAGTACCGATTCTATTATGAAAGATTTATTATAATGGATTGCCCACAATCCATAATCTTATAAAAAGAAATGTTCAATTGCCATACAAACCTCCAATATAGAAATCCAAAGGTAGCGGTCGTATGGTGTGATGTCATTTGGACCATGCGGGGGCATAGGAATAACTGTTTTCAGAACACAACATTATGAAAAAACGAGACTTTTGCTGGACATCATATTCACTTCATGGTATTGGCTTAGGACTAATAAACAATAATTTGATTTCAGCTTTGATCAATGGTCAGTAAATCTTGGAGCATGTATATCTGTTGTCAACATACAAGGATGGATGATTTATGCTGCGTATTATCTTTGGTATTTTCTTTGGTAGCTGTGTTGGAGATTTGGAGTGGCTGGTTGTAAGATATATTTCTAGTCTACCTCTTTGGCAGCAGTGTTGATTTACTTGCTCTTTTATCTGTAATTTATCTATAATCTGTGATGTGGAAGGGTAGCATAGAGGGAGATGATATGTTATGATGGTATATGCTCTACATAAGTGGCCTATGAATAGATGTAAGGGTGGGTACCCCATGTGGTCTGTATCTTCTTTATCATTGAAACTCTTTTTTGCCGTCCCAGAAGAAAAACAAAAATAACTAAAAAAAATAAGAGAGCCCAACATAATTATGTAATTTAAATAAATCTGTACAATTTTGTAATTAAAATGTGATCATATATATTCATAAGCTAATTAGAAACAAAATTTTATTAAAAAAAAATTAACGTTGAAAGATACACAACAATATGTGTTAGCTTTTCAACAGGAATTAATTAACGGCTGAGACAACAATAAGTAATTGACATTTGACAGGCAGCCATAGGCTATATAGCAACTTTGACATGAGCTGCAATCCTCACAGTTCGGAGTCAATTTTTAGGTTCCCTCTTACCTATAAATCAACATGTTAACCTTGAGCTTAATTAGTTTCTCTTCACCACCTTTCATTCTTATCTGGCCTTCCTTTGGGGTTCATGGCAAATTCCCATCGTCAAACTACCAACAGGTTCTTGTTCGACAACAATTTTGGATTCATGTTATACAAACATTAATTGTTGCATGAGTACTTTATATATGCCTTTTGAATTTTTTTTTTCAATTTCTCCCATGGGATTTTTCGATTTTGATCATGACAAAGAAATAGATTAATTACGTGTTTGAATGTCATCGGAATCACCGTGACAGGCCTAAAACCACATAAAAGCACGGCTATCTTGAAACAACAATGAGTTGCTTGAAGCTCGCCGTGACAAACAAGGGAACACCGAATTTCCATTACATTTCTCTTTTTTATGTAAAGTGTTAAAAAAAATGCCCGATAATTTTATAGTTTTTTGATTAAAAAAAAATTCATTATCTTGATTAAGACACATCATTAACTTTTTCAATAGAAAAAGAAATACATCGTTAGCTTTCATGCTTCGTGAAGTAACAATTAATAATAACCGGAGGAAATAGGCTATTTGATCTTGTAATCAAAAGAAATTAACCCATCCCAAGGAGAAGGCATTATATTCTTTGAAAAAAAAATTCTATTACTACAACTTTTGATATATACGATTAAATAGCTCCAATTTATCGGGAGCCACAAGTATAATTGTCAACAAATAATTCAAATGTAAAATGATAGCAAGAATTGCTTCCCTTTTGCCCTTTATGTAAAACAGGTTAACTAGTTTATATCATACTAAACTCTTTAAGTGTACAACTAAGGCTACTCTTTCTGACTTTTTGTTTTGGGTTTGTGATATGGTTAATTGCAGGGGGACAGAAGATGATGGGTATGACAAAATGGATTGGGACAAGCTTACATATCAAGTTATTCCAACTGATTACATGTATATAATGAAATCCAATGAAGACGGGATCTTTTCGAACGGATGTCTCGTACCTTTTGGAACCATTCAGCTCGAACCACACTCTTCGGTATTAAATTACGGACAGGTGGGTTATCGCTCTTTTTTATTCACGTATTTCAGTGAAAATGAAACAAAGAAAGAGCGGAAAAGATGGAGGAAAGAATTTAAATAAATAAAAAAAAAAGACTATTCCACTGGAATTCGAATTCTGTGTTAAATATTTGGAGATACTTTTACCCTTACAAAACATAGATGTAAGGCAAAATGTTGACATAATGATACATAATATATACATGCATGCATGAAAATAGGGATTATTTGAGGGCATGAAGGCATACAGAAGACCAGATGGTGGGGTGCAGATATTCCGACCCGAAGAAAACGCCATGCGCGCGCAGATGGGAGCTGATAGGCTGCTAATGGCGGCACCTTCTGTTGAACAGTACACTGATGCTGTCAAACAAGTTGTCCGCGCAAATAAACGCTGGGTATATACTATAACTGTTTTGATACAAATTTACAAGTATTTCTGATGGTTTCTCTGTTGAAAATAAAAGGATTTTCATATAAAGAAACCTTTTGAAGCACTTACATGTATCTAAACATCTTCTATATATATTATTTTTATGTATTGCCATTTATTTATTTTTTTCCTGATTTTAGGGTTTTGAGTTTTGTGATTGAAACCGCAGGTTCCTCCTTTTGGAAAAGGAGCACTGTACATTAGGCCTTTATTATTTGGAAGTGGATCTGTTATGGGTATTTCACCTGCACCACAGTGCACCTTCCTAATATACACTAATCCAATTTGCAACGTTTACAAGGTGAGTGATCTCCGTGTTGAATGAGAAGAGGAATTAATGGATTGCACAACATGTTGATTATAATGAGGATCTGTTATTCATGTTCCCTTCATATCATTAATCACAAAATCGGTGTAACTATATTTTATCTTATTTGTATAATTGTTCATTTGGACAGGGACGAACTACACCCATGGACTTGTTGATTGAAGAAAAACTCCCTCGCGCATATCCCGGTGGGACTGGAGGAGTGAAAAATATAGGCAATTATTCATCTGTAAGTTTATATATGCCTCTGGCTAGATAAAATAATGGAAGTTAACTATGGGCTACAAGATGATTGAATGAACTTTCATCCTTTTTATACCATATCAAAAGAGTAATTAATTTACACCATATCAAAAACTCGAGCATTGTAAAATACTATTTTTAAAAAATACTAGATGATTGAATGAGCTTTCAGATTTCTTAATTGGCCATATAAATAAACAAAAAGAAAAATATTTTTTTGTTACATTCTGTCAATTTTATACTTAAGTTCAAATTTTTTTATTTATTTTTCTTTCTCTAATCATGATTAGTTACTGTGCATATTAGTATGAACACTTGTGTACATGTTTATAAGTGTCACTTATGAAATCAGTCATGTTTATAACCGATTTTGTAATTGATGTGTTTGAAATCATTAAAAGAAAACTGATTTTAATAAAAGTAGTGACATTATTAATAAAAATTTAAAAGTCTTTCCTATTAAATCAACTTGCTTTAAGCTGGTTTTAAATCCTATTGTAGTATGTATATATATTTTGCAGTAGTGATAACATAAGAAATAAATTTTGGACTTGGTTATCTAGCATAGTGAACTTCTCTTTTTCTTTTTGAGTGGTCACTGAATCCTACTAGAATACCTAAAAGCATTATAGGCTAGATGATTAAACTTGTGTGAATCCTGTAAAACAGCACGGTCGATTAGGAAAGTAAATGCTAGTAGGAGTGCAAATTCAATGTCAGGCTTTAGAATGTATCATATAAAAGGGTTCATCTAAAATAATTCCATTAATTTGACAAAAATAAAAGATAACATAATTAAGGATATAAAATAACTCTAATTGAAAGGAAATAAGAAAACTAATCATAATCATAAAGGACAGTCTAAGATATTCAAATGTATGATAAAAATATATTTATATTTACTTCAACAAATTCACAAAGAAATTCCAAAGGCGTCATGAGTTGTTTAGTTCAACCGCAGTGACATTTGCACTGCATGAAATCTCAATCATAAAAAAATATATTATTATAATGTGAATTTTTACCAAACAATATATTTTTTAATAAATTTTCAAAATTTAGTGTGGGTTTGCCTGCTTTTAATAATGAAGGGAGATGCATGCATGGTTATTACAATATAAAAATGGCAACCAGGATATAGATGGGTGTCTCAATCAAACAGCATAGTACATATCGGCACTAACGTAGATGCTACACATGAAATCGATCAAATGATGAAGTCGAATGACATTTTAACACCAAACTCTTGTTATCTAAACGCAGGTTTTCCATGTGATGAAAGAAGCAAAAGCCAAAGGATTTACCGATGTCCTCTTCCTAGATGCGGTGGAACATAAATATGTGGAGGAGGTGACTTCGTGCAATGCTTTCATTGTCAAGGTAATGTTACATGTGATATTATTTTGTTACTTTGCCAATTTTACAATTTTTCATATATATATATATATATATATATATATATATGTATATATATATATATGTGTGTGTGTGTGTTTTAGTGTAGCTCTGACACCTTTTCATATTTCAATCCCCCAACTCATATATGTATATATTTCTTTTAATTTGTAGGGTAATTTGATTTCAACTTCACCATTAATCGGAACTATTCTTCCTGGAATCACAAGAAAAAGTATCATTAAACTTGCTCGTGATTTGGGCTACAAGGTGATTTATTAATGATTTTGAATATATAATTTTGAAAAAAAGGAATAATTTTGCTGGTACACATGCAATTCATGTTAAACATATCACAGCACGAAACATAAGTTTTTCACTTGAAAATTAATGTTTACTATAAACAATGTTGTGTCATTCAAGTTCAAGGTCCATGAAATGTGTCCAAGCCAAGCCATTATATGAAAATAATATTTTAATATTAAAATTGTTGTTCAACTAACAAGTATCACGTGTATTACGTACATAGTTATACAACATAAGTGTAATTAATATAAAAAGTAATCATTGAAAGTACTTTTGAAAATTAATGTAAAAGACAAAAAAAAAGAATGATAAATAAAAATAAAAGAAACAAGGTAATCATTTCAAACATTTAGTTATGAACACTTTCAAAGATTGGTTTAATAAATTCCTAATTATTTTTATTGCTAATTAAATAATTTGAGTATTTATTAAACAAATTGATCAAATAAAAGTATATTTAAATAAATAAATAAATAAAAAGAAAAATATTTTGATATGAAAATTCAAAAACCGTCAAAAGTGATATATATATATATATATATATATATATATATATATATATGTGTGTGTGTATAGAGAAATGGAAATATATATAAATATATCTTACTCTCACAAGAATACATGAATTTGTTATATAGGGATGGGATAACCTAATTTGGATGCTGGTTATAAAAGATTATAGATTATATATGTTTTTAATTTTAAAATTTTACTTTTAATCTTTGAACAAATTTTATTTGGTCAATATCTAGAATTTTTTTCATTAAAAAAATAAATTTTACTGAAATATTTTCCGGCCGTTAATTTTGCCAAGGCCGAGGAACGCAAAATTTCGGTTGATGAATTACTTGAAGCTGATGAGGTTTTCTGTACTGGAACTGCTGTTGGGATCTCTGAGGTTCGAAGTGTAACCTACCAGAATAAAAGGTATAACAGAATTAAACATTTTGTTTCTTTTCGTAGTTTTGTAATATTACCGTATGTTTGTATAAACTTTATCTGAAATATTTTTAAGAAAAAATAAAATAGAAAAATTGAAATTAGATTTTCTATAAGTTAAAATTAATTTGTACATAAGTTCAAAAATAAGATTTTAATTATAAAAAAATATTTCATTTACTCTTCATATTTTTCTCACCTAAGAATACTTTTAAATAAGTTTATTAAACATTATATTCCTACCCATTACTACCGATGTAAAATAAAATATTGGTTGTGCAGGGTTGAGTTCAAAACAGGAGCAGACACCGTCACCCAAAGGTTGTATGATATGATAACAGGAATCCAAACAGGCCTTTTGGAGGATAAGAATGAATGGGTGGTGAAGATTGACTGAAGGGTCGGTCCAACAATGGGGAAGGTCTAAAATAAAAATTTTAAAAAAAATTATATTAAAAATAAAAAATAAAAAATAAAAATAAAAAGTTACATATTAGGTCTTTTTATTAATAGGAAATAATTTTTAGTCGTGAATTTAAATTTTGAATTTTAACAATCTTATCCTGGACCGACCCTACTAAACTATTACTAATTTTATACATGTAACATATCAGTTTTCCTTTATCCATTGTACTAGTTTCCAAATATATATATCACAGGATCTTTACACGTCCTCAAATAAAATCTATAACATCTCAATTACGTCTGTAAATGATATTTTAAATACATACAATAAAAGAGAAATAATACATATACAAAATAATTAATCAAACAAAGATAATCCCTAAAATTAAGCCTAGCTAATTGTGACCGAATCTATTGCATTATTTGGTGTGGCTTCTAACTAGAGGTGTGTAAGTGGTATGAATTCATAAACTCAAATTGACTTTAATCGATTCAATAATTTAGATTAGAGTTTTTTAATATTTAAGTTACATTTAACTTAATTCGATTAAAATTAATATTATACAGATCGAATTACGAATCTTTTTTTTTTTTTTACTCGTGAACCAATCCAAATTCATTATACAATAATAATAATAATAATAATAATTATTATTATTAATATTAATATTTAAATAATTATTTGTTTAACATAATACTTTTTGTCGTTCTTAATAATAATTAATTTTATATTTTTAGTTGATAATTTTTTAATAATATAATATATTTATTTTAAATTTTATTTTTTATTAATGTTAATTATTTAAGCTAGTAATAATGTAGAAAATTAACAAATTTATTCAAAATTTAATTTATATTATTATTTATTTTATGAGTCGATAATATTACATTTATAATAAAATATTAAATAATTTATATTTATTATAAAATATTTATATTTTTATTAAATAATAAAAAAATTTAATTATATGTTTAATCTAATTCAATTTCAATATAACGAATTCATCCAAACTCAAATCAACTTGTTTATATCTTTATTTCTAATTTCATTTTTTTTACACCAATTATATTAGTTATAAATCTACAAATTTAACGAGTAAGTGACTCTAATGACAAAAGATTTGAGAATTTTAGTATGAAGTTTTAATTTAAAAGTCAAGGTGGACTTAGCGCTGAAAATTACAGCAATATATTGGGCACCAGTTCCCATGCATTCCATGCAGCTGCGAAATCTGCTTTGGAAGTCTCCGCCTGCCCCATATGGTGTGGTTGAGTGTCTAATGGCCACAAGAGCAGAAAACAATATCAATATCCCATGGTGGTTGTGAGGCAAATCCCAACCAATATCCCATATTTTAAAATAAATATTTGTGCAACTTATTCTTTCCAAATCACCACCCTCACTGCAATCTAATGTACAATAAAATTCAGCCTGATGCACATATCTTTGAGCCTTCACCGCACTGCAATTTTGCGGTTGGTGTGGCTTTTGCATATTTCTTATAACTAACAACTTATTAGGATACATTTTCTTAAAAAAAACCAAGGTCAGTTTTACGAAAGCTAAAATTTTTATTATTATATATATAATGTACTATATATATATATATGATGATACAACATACAAACTGATGTTTTCTTTTTCGAAGGTGGTCGTCTTGGTAATCGATGTTCACTTGCAAACAGTTTTTTTCACCTGAAATTACTTTTTTTTTACCTAACTCAGTGGTCCAGGTAAACTTCAATTTTGTGTTAGTAACATTGAAGAACATGAGATGGAGGGAGGAGAGAAAGGGAAAAAGAATTAGAGAAAATATAATTTGGCACATAAGGTATTAATATCATGTTGTTTGCGATTAAATTTGTTTATGGATTCTTTTATTTGAACTAGCAAAATTTTCAATTTAGATATGTATATCAAGCAATTTTTCCTACGTCGTCTCTTACTTCTATTTGTTATTAACATGCAACAAATTTTTTGAAATGAACCTTATACACATCAACTAAAAATGACTAAGCAAGTTAAATTAGTCGAGGTTCAATTTTACGTGATTTAGCATGCGAAGATTTCTAAATGTTCTTCGATGATTATCATGAAACGAAATTCATGCATATAGACATTTAAATGAATCTAATAAATAATATATATATTGATAACAGAAATCATAATTTATTTGCTTCCAATAATTGTTGAATTAGAATGTATAAGAATTCTTAGAAGCAACAAAACTACAATACTACATCATATTAACTAGGCTAAAACTACTCTATAAGAAAAGAAAAGAAAAAGAGTGGCTAAAATCATACTCAGCAATATTGTGCACGAGAGCCATGAATATAGGGAATGAATGCATGTAAACATGTAAGTATTGAATTTTTGGCCCTTTTGATTGTGTCTGCCTCATTTACTTATAGCAATAGGGGGAGGATGATTATTTCGCATTAGTTTAACGTGTGGTATATAACCGCCCTTCACTACGTGACACGGATAACCATTCTCAACTTCTTCCAACTCCCTTTAAGGATTTTCAACTTATCAAATAATTCCTTCAATGCCGTCAATTTTAATCTCAAAAAAATAATTATCATGCAGAGGTCCCATATGTAACTATTCTGTTGTTTGTGCATTGTGGATAACTTCCCTGAATGACTTGTGTACCAACCTCGGTCAAATGGTGACCGAGTTCGAACCAACTCGGCTTGCCAACTCGGCCTGCCAACTTGGCCTGCCAACTCGGCCTACCCAAACTTGAATCACAATATCAAGTAGTTAATTTAACGGTAATAATGACGGTTACATGGAGAAGGAAAACGGACAATAGCAGGTAAAAATATATACATTTCATTGGACAATCTCAGACAACTAACTTGATCGTCGGAGTCCTTTTTGCAGGTACATCCAAGACGCTTGGAGAAGGTGACCAATCTCGGCGACCAATCTCAAAGACCAATCTCTCATGATCTCTAGAGAGACCAAGATAGAGAAGATGATAAATCTGACTTGAAGGACCGACCTGATTCTGGTAAGAACATCTTGGCGCTAGAAGGAGGGCCTGTAAAACTTTCCTCCGATAACCTTATGGTTTCAACTTGAAGCTAGATTCGCCATACAACTGAGGCTGTAGCCCATCGAACTCATGCCTCAACAAAATTCCACAACTACAGAAGCCAATCTCCAACAGTTACGGGCTAAAAATGGTACCATTGGATCCCAATTTTCCAACCAAACAAGTTACATCCCCTAAGCTGAAGAGGACTATCATTCTTCTTTGAACCCAACTTACCACTCCATGCGCCCTCCCACTTACCGATCTGATCATCTGTACACCCATGGCCAATTTCATCGCGAACACGATCATAATAACCTTCAACATTGCTTTCTAGATGGTATTATGGAAGTCCCCCTTCGTGTCGGTTGGTAAGCTATAAACTTTGAGCGATACGATGGTACTCAACTATAAAACTTAGCCTCGATTCTTAAGCGATGTGTGACTTTTAGGCATACCAGAACAAACTCCCTAGTCGATGCTAAGGGGCAAGAGTGGCCTAGGCCCTCCTTCTAGCGTCAAATGTTCCTACGTAAGTCTGTTACCGCATCTG